GAATTCCCAGCAAAATGATTATTTAGCCTAGAAATAATATGAAAGACAATGGAGGTATTAGAGGGGGAAATGATATAATAAAGTGGCAGAATCAGGGGAAACGGTTATTCTCATTCGAAAATCAACCAAACCCGGAGGAGTGATGAGAAGAATCTCCTGTCTGCTACTGAAACAACCTTCTCCTTCAATCACACACATCCACTTCTCCTTTCCCCCGCACCACCACAATGCCAATTCATTCTCCCGCTCCTTCAAAACCCTACCTCTCCCTCCCCCAGAACTCGTCGAACCTTTCTGCGACCTCTCCGACGTCATCTCCTCCAAGCAAAACCTCCAGCCCTCTCCATGGTTCACACAAATCCTCAACCTCCTCGACAATTCCCCAACCATGGAATCAAATCTCGACTCCTTCTGCCGCCAATTTCTCATCACTCTCTCCCCCTCCTTCGTCGCCCACGCTCTCCGTTCCCTCAACAACCACCACACCGCCCTCCGTTTCTTCACCTGGGCTTCCCACCAACGTAACTACTCACATTCCCTCAATTGCTACGTTTCACTAATCAACCTACTCCTATCCCCCTCAACCACCACCACCTCCGCCGTATTAAATGTTTTTGCAGAACTTCAACGTAGCCGCCTCCCCTTAACATCCCCATCCGCCAACTCCCTCATCAAAAGCTTCGGTAACGCCGGCCTGGTCAATGAACTTCTATTAGTTTGGCGTGGAATGAACGAACAAAACATCCACCCGACTCTTTTCACTTACAACTCCCTTCTTAACGGACTCGTTGGTTCCTCTTTTATCGAATCGGCCGAGCGTGTTTTTGTCGCCATGAAAGAAGGAAGAATAAAGCCTGATGTTGTAACCTACAATACTTTGATCAAAGGGTATTGTAAGATTGGGAAAACACGAAAGGCGACCGAGATGGTTCGCGAAATGGAGGTAATTAATTTGGAGCCTGATGTTGTTACTTATATGACAATAATGCAGGCTTGTTATTCTGAAGGGGATGTTGATTGTTGTTTGAGTCTTTACCATGAGATGGAGGATAAGGGATTTCAAGTTCCTTCTCATTGTTATACTTTGCTCATATGCGGGCTTTGTAAGACGGGGAAGGTTTTAGAAGCTTATGCTTTGTTTGAGAATATGCTTAGAAATGGTTGTAAGGGTAATAAGGCTGTTTACACTGCTTTGATTGATTGTTATGGGAAGAGTGGGAATTCTGATGGGGCTTTAAGGTTGTTTGAGAGGATGAAAATGGATGGGATTGAGCCTGATGAGGTTACTTATGGTGCTATTGTTAATGGGTTATGTAAGAGTGGGAGACTAGAGGAAGCTTTGGGTTATTTTCGGTTTTGTAATGAGAATGCTGTTGTTGTCAATGCTGTTTTTTATTCTAGTTTGATTGATGGACTTGGAAAGGCGGGAAGGGTGGATGAAGCTGAGAAGGTGTTTGATGAAATGGCTGAGAAGGGGTGTCTGCCGGATTCATATTGCTACAATGCGCTCATCGATGGACTTTGTAAGTGTGGGAGGATAGCCGATGCTTTAGTGCTGTTTAAGAGGATGGAGTGTGATGGTTGTGAGCATACTGTGTATACGTTTACTATACTTATCAGTGAGCTTTTCAGGGTGCATAGGAATGAAGAAGCCGTCAAGATGTGGGATTTGATGATTGACAAAGGGATAACGCCGAACGTTGCTTGTTTTAGGGCTCTTTCAATTGGAATGTGTCTTTCAGGAAAAGTTGCGAGGGCTTGTAAAGTGTTGGACGAGCTTGCACCTATGGGGGTTGTTCTTGAAACAGCTTATGAAGATATGATTGGAGCGCTGTGTAAAGCTGGTCGTGTGAAGGAGGCTTGTAAGTTGGCTGATGGAATTGTGGATAGGGGTAGAGAAATACCTGGGAAGATTAGAACTGTGATGATTCATTCCTTAAGAAAAGCTGGGAATGCTGATTTGGCTATCAAGTTGATGCATAGCAAGATTGGTATTGGATATGATCGAATGCGGAGCGTTAAAAAGAGAGTCAAGTTTCAAACCCTTGTTGACAACTGAGATATTTCAGGTGGATATCATGTGGCATTTGGAAACTGGTAAAGGCCAAAGCCAGTTTTAGTTCGAATGTGATGGGAATAGTTAGCTTTAAGGTGTAGTATTTACCCCAAAAGTCAATTTATTTATAAACTGGATAAGAATAAAAGTAATAATAAGTTCTAGTTGCTTGGACTCAAACCATTGCTGCTGGCCTTATCAAAATACAGAGAAATAGTAAAACCACGATGCACTAGTGGGAATCACGAGTTCTCAAATGTTGTACAATTATTATTATAAACTAAACATAGTATGCAGGGACCTGATTGATTATGTACTGCATCTCAAACATAGGAGCCGTGAAAATGTTGATATATTTGGACTAGAATAGGTCAGTATGTCTTTCTTACTAGTTCCCATGTGATGCAGGGGAATAAAATTCCCTAATTGAATTTGAATGAAATGGTTGTGGTTTTAATTTTAACTTGAAGAGTTCATATATTTACTTTTAAATTCACCTGGAATGACTGTGTTCTTAGCTATACCTTTTAAGTTATACCTTTTTTTTTATCATATAACACATTGTGTTTGTAATATTTGTTCTTTTAAAGTTGTCATAAATGAGCTTCTGTGCCTGTATGAATTAACCAAATGTTCTTAATGACCTTGTTTTTTTTTGGATAGAAAAATCAGTCTTATCGGTGGATGCTTTAGAGAAAATGATGGAGGACCCAACAGTGTAGAAGATGGTTTATCCGTAATATTAGCTCCTTTTATCTTTTAATAATGATTATTTTTCATTTTTAGTGAGCACAGATAAGTTTTAGGATAAATGCCAGTCCTGGAGGAATTAGGATAACAGAACCTAACATTTGGAATTAGGATAAATGCCAGTCCTGGAGGAAATTAAATGACCATTCTTCTGCTTTTGTACAATAACCTTTTGTTTGAGTTTACTTATGACTGGATTCATGGTCACTACGTTGATTTTAGACCTAAAGTTGCACAGAAATGTAAATCTTATTTGTTATTTCTCACTAAAGTGTCATTCTATGTGCCGCAGTTATATAAATCAATGTATTTTCTAGTAATATATTGGTAAACTGTACTCTCTGGTCACTAGGGATTCACACATCCTTTCTTTTTCTCCTATATATTTGGTTTCAGAAACAACATGGGTGGAGGCACTGAATGGGACAGTCGAATGATGGACACCTTAAAGAATTTCGACCTTAATAGTCCTGCTGTTAAACAACAATTTGGTATGTCTCACATTTTACAAGAGATGTCTTTTTTGAGAGATGGATCAATTCTTTAATTCTTTCTACATTCTCCTTTCCTGTTTTCTAACATTTTATATTATCACTTTCATCAGATCAAATTGGGCTTTCTCCCGAAGAAGTCATTTCAAAGATTATGGCCAATCCTGATTTTGCCATGGCATTTCAAAATCCTAGAGTTCAAGAAGCTATCATGGATGTAAGTTCTACTTTAAGTACCACTTCATTAATATTTCATATCAAATCTCTGAGTGCTTCTTGTTTTGTGAAGGTATCATTTTTGGCTTTTCATCACTTTATCATTCATTGTTGTACATTTGTAGTGCCTTTTCATAATTTACTTTGAAGTCTGCCCCTGTCAACCTAGATAATCCTCTTGTTGCATTAGAGTTATCATATGTTATGTTATACTACAGATGATGATTTACTAAGTAATTTCTTTTTCTAACTATTGCAGGAGTATCCTGATTACGTACCATACATCACTCCGATGTTCTTTTGTGATGATTGGCTCAACTTGTATCTCGATAACTTTAGAATGAATACTTATTCCGACAAAGACCAGCAAAATAAGGAAATATGTTGCTCTGACTATCGTTTTGTTTACATGGGAGTAAAAGGTGTGATTTTAGTTGGGAAGAAATCTTGAAATGACCATGATACTTCACTCCATCATTTCCTGCATCACCTTCACCCCCATGTTACTTACCGTGTTCTTTCAGACCCTATTCTCCAACCGCATTCCTGTTTATCCTTTTTCCACTTCCTCAAAACCCATCATTCCAACCATTCACTCAAACCTGACCTCAAGGCCCATTTGATTCTCTTTTCTAGACTCTTTAAAGCTCGCAAATTCGCCACCATCAAGACTATTCTGAATTCCGTTGTTACTGATTCCCAATTTCGCTCCCCAGTTTCGGGGATCGTTGATTTGCTTGATGAATTTGAGTTTCATTTTGTTGACAAGCTTTGTGATATGTTGTTTAGGGTTTGTTCTGATAATAGGTTGTTTCCAGAGGCGGTTAGGGTTTTTGATTATGTGGAGGAAAAGGGGTTCGTGATAGAGGAGAGGTCTTGTTTTGTGCTTTTGCTTGCTTTGAAGAGATGTGGTGAGATTGAGTTGTGTCTTAGATTCTTCCGCCGGATGGTTGAGTCTAATGGAATTGAAATTAGGGTTCAGTCTTTGACACTTGTGATTGATGGCTTGTGTAAGAGAGGAGAGGTTGAGAAAGCTAAGGAGTTGATGGATGAGATGGTCACTAAAAGCATTGTGAAACCGATTGTGTTTACTTACAATACGTTGTTGAATGCGTATGTTGGAAGAAAGGATCGAAGTGGAGTTGGTGAGATACTGAGGTTGATGGAGAAGGAGCCGGTTGTTTTTAGTGTGGCGACTTATAGTATTTTGATTCAGTGGTATTCTAGTTCTGGTGATATTGGGGAAGTGGAGAAGATATTCGAGGAAATGCGTGAAAGAAAAATAGAAATTGATGTTTATGTTTATTCGTCCATGATAAGTTGGAATTGTAGGTTGGGAAATATGAAAAGGGCATTTGCGTTGTTTGATGGCTGAATTTGTAGGATGTCTGCAGAATTTTTCTGCATTTCTGACATGAAGTTTGCATGTTTTGTTATTTACAATTCTACTCTCCTCTTTCTCTTTTGATGTGTCAAAACAGGTAACGATGTTTAAGAAGAATTACGACCATCTTCCAAAGGACACATATTTTGGCACATACAAAGATTCTGTGCGCGGAAATCCGAACTATTTCCTGACTTACGGAAATGGAAAATCAGTTGCACGGGTACAAGATCACCTTCGGCCTAACGGTGCACACAGATGGCACAATTATATGAAAACCCCAAAGTATAATACATCATCAATATATACAACATTTTTGTGTGCATGATCTTTTTAATTAGTATCATGACGATTCTTCTGAAATATGACAGTGAAATCAAATTGGAAGAAGCTGCTGTTTTACATTACACATACGCCAAATTCTCTGATTTAACTTCTAGACGTGATCGTTGTGGTTGCAAACCTACCAAAGAAGATGTCAAAAGATGCTTCATGTTGGAATTTGACAGATCTGTAAGTTTCAGTTTTTCAGTTTTTCGATTCTAGGTATTTATCATTGCTTTCATTTATGCTAAGTAGACCTTATTATCAATTTCAGGCATTCATCATTGCTTCAACAGCAACTGAAGAAGAAATGTTGAAGTGGTATGCTACCTTCAATTTATATTCATTTATACTCTCCTACATAATTTAACCATTATTTTATCGATCTTCGAGAAACATTTGATCTTTTTTCTTGTTCCAGGTATAATGAGCATGTTGTGTGGGGTGATAAAGAGTTGAAGATAAAACTGTTGAGGAAAGGAATATTGACCGGCATATACGCTCCCACGGTCAGTGATAAGTTAGTTAAAGTTGTTCCAATCAATGTAGTCAAGCACGAGATCTTAAGTAGGGTTGGTTATAGGAGCGTTATAGAGCTATAACATAGCTGTATTTAAACAAATCGCTATTGTTCTGTGATTATCTAATGCAAAATATTGTCAAATAGCAGACATAACAGCGCTTGCGCTATAGCAGTGCGATATTGTGGAATTTGAACAAACTGCTAATCTGTGATCCGCTATTGACAACAGTGTGCTAGAGATAGAGGTGTTGCTATATCTATTTCTACATATTATACATTTCTTGATGATCTTGTCTCCAGGTCATAATACAAAGTTTGAGGGAATCCGGAGTATTCAGCTCCATCATTGCATCGGCGCCAACACTTTCCAAAGACAAGTTCTTGCATTCAATTGATAGTAGCAATTCAACAAGAGCTGTTGCCTCTATATTCCACTCATCCAGAAAAGTTGGAAGAATCAAAGAATCTCAAGCAACTGCAAGGAGGATTCTGGATCTTGAATCTTCTGTATTTCAAGAATCGGCCGTACCACCGGAGTCTCCTCCGGGTGTAGTAGAAGATAGTAACCTCATTTCACACTCATGATCAATTTCAGGACCATCCTTTCTTCTCCTTCCATACTCCATAGGTTGATATGTCATATCTTGTTTCTGTATAGAGTGCTATCATTGAATTCTATTTTGTGCTTTTTCCCCTTCATATTTGTTGATAGGATAATAGTGTTTTATCTCACATGCTATTGATTATATGTTATGAGACGTGTGCTAATGTATGAAGATATTAAACAACAGTCATAATCTAAAATATTTGTTTATTGTTTTATTGTTTACTTGGTGCAAATATTAATGTACATTTTACTTAAATATCTCTTTTATTTAACCTTCAATATTATTAAGGTGGAAAACCCAGAAAGCTATTCGGGTCATGGAGATTTTGGAAAAGCACGGCCAGGCTGATGTTTTTGCGTATGAAGCACTTTTAAATGGGTACTGTAAAGCTGATATAGTTGATGCTGCCAATAAGGTGCTTTTCATACAACATCAGTTTATGTGTATCTATGTTTATGTTGTTGATTAGCGGTCAGTCTGCTCTTGATATTGTAGATGAGGATTGCTTTGTTCTATATCATACAACATCAGTTTATGTGTATCTATGTTTATGTTGTTGATTATATATTACTTGTTTACATGGAGGTTCTGATATCTCAAGGTTAAAGATTATATTGAGTTTGTATTGTCATGTGATTTAGGAATGCCTCTGCACTATGGGAGTTCTATTTAACTACTACTGCACTTTACTTTGTAACTTCCATTTTATAAGATTTGTGAATCATCCCAATTTCGTTCAAGGTTTTTTATGCACACCTTACTTAGACTGAATAGCACATTCATTATTACTGTGACTTTTTTCAAGAAGATGATGACAACTAAAGCATTCATATGTTACATTTTTTGAAGTTGGTGTTTGGGTTTTTCTCATCTATTACATAATAGGATTCAATCCAAAGTTGGGAGGTAAAAAACCTTATGTGCAACATGTCAATATACTAGTGTTAAATTTTAAAATACAATCGAGCCATGGTCCTTTTGAAGTGCGTCAGTACTGTGTTGAAGTCTTAAAGACATCAAAAACCATGACAAAATGATACAGTGGTGAATGAATTCCTTAGAGATATTTGGCACCATGTAATCTTTTATACTTGCAACTTTAGAAGTGTTTTACTTTTAGTAATATTGAAGGCCTAATTACTCTCAAGTTTTGGAATCTCTTGGACTCTTCACAGATTCTTATCGACATTGGATAGGGGTTGGTGCATTGATAATATTTAAGTTTCTTTAGAACATTATATTTACTGGTGTTGTTGTTTCTAAATCTATTATAATCTCTTTAGTAACTGCTACTGATGTTGTTATTGGTGAAGCAACTGTGATTGTGATTGGAAACAATGTTACAATTTTGTATGATGCATCTAAGGTGTTTGATGAAATTTCCGATAGAACTTTGATCTTAAAAGTTTCTGGTTTGTTAAGAGGGGGTTTAAATATTGGTGAAGTGGGCTGTCCTCCAGATGCAATTTCTTATAATAATAACTACGCCAATGTGCAGCTTATTCTAGAGGTATGTGATGTCGACTTCATGAGATTACTGCAGCTTATTTATTCTTGTCATTTAAATGATTTCAGTGCTTATGTAATTGTGATTATTTTGATCTGCATAACTTGTTAATTTTGCTGACGGCAATGCAATGTGTTTTCCAGATTGCCGAGATAACTCATGTTGATGCGGTATGGCCTGGTTGGGGTCATGCATCAGAGAATCCTGAGCTACCAGATGCATTAAAAGCAAAAGGAATTGTATTTCTTGGGCCTCCTGCAGTATCTATGGGGGCATTGGGAGATAAAATTGGTTCATCGTTGATCGCTCAAGCAGCCAATGTGCCAACCCTTCCATGGAGTGGTTCACATGTAAAGTTTTTCTCCCATTGTAGTGTACTTCATTTGTATGGGTTACCCGACTTATGACTTTGTAATTTTTCCACAGGTGAAAATTCCTCCTGAAAGCTCCTTGATTACTATTCCTGATGAAATCTACCGAGCAGCATGTGTTTATACAACAGAAGAAGCAATTGCAAGTTGTCAAGTTGTTGGATACCCTGCAATGATCAAGGCGTCTTGGGGTGGTGGTGGTAAAGGCATAAGAAAGGTTTGCTTCCTTATGGTCAACTCTGTAACATGTAGAAAATTGTATAGTATCTACCTATGAAGCACTGACACAAACATACGACATTGACACTGACATGTTCACACCGGTAATAATTTGAGAACATGAAAGTGATCGGAAATCAGGCACACGTTAAATCTGAAGCATCGGTGCTTACATAGATCAATGCTGATAATCTTGTGTCAATCATATTTTTGTGTTTTGTTTGGTAAAAGTTAAGAAACTAACATGCATGTGGATATTTTAGGTTCATAATGATGATGAGGTAAGGGCATTGTTCAAGCAAGTTCAAGGTGAAGTTCCGGGATCACCTATATTTATAATGAAAGTTGCTTCCCAGGTTAGATAAACCACTGAACTTTGATCTGAGTGAGCTTGATTTTTGGAGTTTTGATCATACGCTGACGATCTCTCTTGCTTCTAAATAGAGTCGGCATCTTGAAGTCCAACTGATTTGTGATCAGTACGGAAATGTTGTAGCTTTACACAGCCGTGATTGCAGTGTTCAACGAAGGCATCAAAAGATATGAAAATTTTCTGTTACTAGTTACTACACCAAATTGTCACGATGGAATGAATCTCGGTAATGACATAATCCATCATCTGGAACAGATTATTGAGGAGGGTCCGATTACTGTAGCACCCCCAGACTCCAAGATCTCATCAATTAGCCTATTGGAGATAATGTGAATACAACAATTGCAGACTTAATTAATGATGATGGAAATTGGAATTGAAGCCATTTAAGGAACATGTTCAGTCGGAAGTTTTTGGATATAATGCTTGTAATACCTCCACCAAGAACAAGGATATAGAGGATCATTGGAAAGGCATTTGGAATCTGAGTGTTACTAAAAGAATAAGGGTTTTTGTGTGGATGATATATCATAATGGAATCAAAACCAACCAATATCTAAACCACTTGAATCTTCCAGATAATTTGTGTGATTACTGTGATGGAAAATGTAGTAGTGTTGTAGCTGAGCTTTGGTGAGTAATGGAAGGCATTGATTTAACTCGCACAAGGGCATAGAGAAGACTGATGGTGCAAGTAGACATCAACCAAGTTTTTGAAGCTCTCACAATGAGCTTAGTCGAGAAAGGTCTAGGTTTAAATCTGATTCCTAAAATCCAGGAATTTACAAGCACTAATGAAGACATTTCTATCGTCTATATTTATCAGGAATTGAAAAAGTGTGTCGACGTGCTTCTATATGAAGAATGTCCTCAATTTATGTATCATACATATCTAAAGAACTTGAGACGCCTTGATACATATCCAAATTTGATTAGGTTTCTCCTTAGCGGAAAGTGAATTTTATTTTATTGGAGATTTTGTTGTAGTTGATTTTTCTGTACCTTATAACTTTTCATACAATTGGAGTTTGATGATATTTGAATTTTTCTTGTTTATTGGTAAAATTTGCACTTCTTTTTACCTTTGATCACATTTTTTTGATATTATTGATGATTATTTGATATTAAATGTTTTTATTGTAATTAACTTTATTATGTTGAAAAGTGATAGAAAATAAAATAAAAATACTATAAATAAAAAAATATTAAAGTAAATAATAATTTAAATATAATAGTAAAATATTATAGTAAAATAATATTATATTTAAAATTATTTTACTAAATAATAATTTAAATAAAAATATTATTTGAAATTTATAAATCAGATTACGACGGTTAAAACCGCCGCAATTTCTAACCTACGGCGGTAGAATAACCGTCGCAAACAACAACAAAAACAAAAAATAAAGTCAAATTCACGACGGTATATAACCGTCGCTATCTGTTGTGCGTGACAGTTTTGCAACCGTCGCGAAATAGGCTGGGGACGCACGATTCTGCGACGGTACTTCTACCGTCGTAGATTGTAAATTGCGACGGTTTTAACCGTCGTAATCAGCCAAAATAACCGTCCCAATCTATCATTTTTCTTGTAGTGATGTATGCACCAGTTTTATGATATCCTACTAGAATCATAGGTTCACTCTTGTCATCAAGCTTCCTTCTCCTTGCATCAGGAACATGCTTGTAACACATAGAGCCAAACACCTTCGAGTGACTTACTGATGGTCTTTTGCCACTCCACACTTCTTTAGAAACCTTGTTCTTCAATATCTTAGTAGGACACCTATTTAAAATATAAACTGCAGTCGAAACAGGTTCTCCCCATAAATATTTTTGCAAATTCTTTTGCTTCAGCATACATCTCGCCATATCTAATATGGTTCTATTTCTTCTTTCATAAATTCGATTATGTTGAGGTGTGTAAGGATCAGTTACCTCATGATCAAAACCATGTTTTGCACAGAAATCTTCAAACATCTTGGATGTGTATTCGCCACCTCCATCTATTCGCAGAACTTTGATCTTCTTCTCACTCTGGTTTTCGACGAGTATCTTGAATCTCTTAAGGATTTCAAATACTTCGTCCTTTTATGTGATCACATAGATCTACAGATTTCGACTAAACTCATCAACAAAGGAAACAAAATATTTGTTTCCACCAATGGTATGTTCTTCAAATGGACCACATACATCTGAATGCACCACTTCGAGAATGCAGGATGATCTCATTGACATAGTCGAAACAAAAGAATTTCTGGATTTCTTTCCCACTAAACAACCTTCACAAAGTTTTTCAGGCATCTCAAGACTTGGAATACCAGTAACCATATCTTGAGTAATCAGTTAATTAAGTGATCGAAAATTCAAATGTCCAAACCTCAAATGCCACAACCAACTATCCTTGTGGTCGACAACAGTTTTCAAACATTGAACTTTTGTCGAACTGTTCATAGTCTTAAATGTCCTGTTCTTCGACAATGGATATTTTAAAACCAAATTGTTCTTAGTGTCGAACAATTTCAAAACTCTATCTTTTATGACAACTGAGAAACCTTTTTCAACTAGTTGTCCAACACTTAACAAGTTGCATTTCATTCCAGGTACACATAGCACATATTTGATCATAACTTTCCCTCCATTACTCATTTGAAAGACTATGTTGCTAGTACCTTCTGCTTGGAACAAACTATTATCAGCAAGTTTTACCTTGCTCTTTTTCGACTCGTCAAAATTGGCCAACCACTCCTTTCAACCAATCATGTGGTTTGAGCAGCCTGAGTCGAGAAACCAGCTCTTGGATTTGACATGGTTATCTGCAAATGCAGCCATAACCACCATACCACCGTCAGAATCATCTGAATCTTGGCGTGAAAGGTTTTCTCCTTCGTTCTTGCCTTTTGATCCCTTTTTATTTCTGTACCAATAATTCTTGGCCAAGTATCCCCACTTTTCACAGTTATAACACTACATACCTTTCTTATCTTCTTTGTCCTTTCGATAGTTTCCTCCTCCCTTTTTCGAGGATTCAGAAGATCTATCTTCTACCTTATTCTTATGGGAATTCGACCAAGACTTCTTTCCATGATTCTTGTCGAACTTGCCTTTGAATTTGTTGGAACCACCATCTTTTTTCCATGATTGAGCTTGCAGTACCTGTATCGAGTCCTGAACTCCCTTCCTTTCGACAATCCTCATCTCATGCACCTCCAACGAACCAACCAAATCTTCCACTTTAGTGGTTTGAAGATTATTAGATTATTGAATAGCTACGATAATGTGATCAAAGTGAGAGGTCTACATTCTCATTACCTTCTCAACTATCATCTTATCAGTAATGGTTTCACCACAACCCTTCATGAGATGGACGAGTTTCTAGACCTTCGACACATATTCTACAAATTTTTCATCTTCTTCCATCGACAACAACTCATATTGTCAACTCAAGGTTTGTAATTTGATAACCTTGACTTTATCACCTCCTTCAAAATACTTTACCAGAATATCCCATGCCGCCTTCGTTGTTTCAACATGAGAGATTTTGTCGAAGTTAGCAGCATTGGCAGCCGTTTGAAAGTAATAAGCATCCTTGTAATCTTTCTTCTTGACTTTGTTGTGGGCTTTTTTATGTTCGTCAGTTGCATTTGCAGCCAACGCAGAAACACCATCGGTAACCACTTCTAGGGTTTCATGGAAGAGAAATAAGGATTGCATCTGTTTTTTCCATCGGATCCAATTTTTTCCGTCAAGCATTGGAAGAGAATTTGGAATGCCCTTATCACTAGCCATCTTCGCAGTGGTTGATTGACTTGCCCTAGAAAAATGATATCTGACGTTAAATTCTCGAAAACTTGATCAAGAACAATAACCGGAAGCTTTGGATACCAATTTGTTAGTCTGTGAGGCACTTTTAGTGAGGAGAGAAAGAGAGAATAATAAAGGAAATAAGGATTTGTATGATTCAATTGTACAAATAATGATACACACTATCACTATTTATATACAATCCTAATTGGGCTTGGGATAACACAACTTGGATTATATTAAATATTAAATCTAATCAAATCAAATCTAATATTTCAACACATCCATCATCCTCTTTATTATTTTGTTTCCCTTGCATATATAACCCTCTCTCGTCTTTGCTCGACAAATTTCGCTTCATCCTCTTCTCCGGAGACTCACTCTCGTATATAACCAACACGGAAGCTCTTTGCGCCTCACCTCCTTTCATCTACCACAATCATTATTTATATGCCCTTCGTGACAATCGCAAAAAGAAATCCAAAGAGAAAACTGATTCATGTATTGTTTCCTCTTCTTTTAATCTGATTCTTCTTCAATTTCTGAATTTTTTTTGTTGATTTGAGGATTCATCCTTTTGTGATATTGATGTGTTGTTTTTTGAAGAATGGATAATGAGGTTGCTGATGTATGTGGCACTGTGACAATGATTAAGAAGATGAAGTTGCGGTGACGGTTATTACCATTAAATAATCGTGAAGATTGAAGCAAATGAAAGTTGTAGAAGATTAAAGATCGAAGTTGTTGCTCTAAATTTGTTGAAGCGGTTTGCATATTGTTGATGAAAATTGAATAATTGATGCGAATAAGGTGGTGAAAGTCACGAATCAGGTTGAAGAATGATTGAAGAAGATGAAAAGAATTTCATAGAGATAGAGGTCTGTGATTGAGGAGTCGTGAAGAGAGTGATGAAGGATATGCAGTAGAATTCTTCATAGGATAATTTTAGAGGTGAGTTTTTTCTCTGTGAGTTTTCTGTTTGTTGAATAATTGTTCTCTTGAAATGAATCCTTTTTTGTAACCCTGTGAATCTTATATTATATAGCTCTGCTAGAAGTTTTTTAGAAACTTTTGGGAGGTTAGAGTTGAGTTGGAATTTTGTTAGATGTTAGTTAGAGAAATTAGGTTTTTTGTTATTGAAATTTTGTTTTCTGTTGAGGAGTTATGTTAGTAGGTTGTTGAAATTCTGTTAGAAGTAGAAGTTAGTTATAAGGTTTCTATTGCAAGTTAATCAACTAGTTTAAGCTAGTTGAAATGGATATTTTTGTTAGTTTTGTTGGTTCTGTTGTTTTTTTTTGTTAGAATAGTTATAGGTGAACTAGTAGTTATTGGGTTGGTTATAGGTTTAGTTATTTAACTCTGTTAATTC